TGATGTTCTACAAGGGTGAACAGGGGATAGGGTATTCCTACTGATGTTCTACAAGGGTGAACAGGGGATAGGGTATTCCTATTGATGTTCCACAAGGGTGAACAGGGGAAAGGGTATTCCTACTGATGTTCTACAATGGGAAACTGGTAACAGGGTATTCCTATTGATGTTCTACAAGGGTGAACGGGGTATTTCTATTGAAATTACAAGGTTATGGGTTGTCAGCAGATGAAAAATAAAATAAAAGAATTGCATGTTGCAGGTTCGAGGGCAATTTCACATGTACAAGGGTTGGGGTGTCAGATGGGATCTGGGTACACAGTCTGAGGTCTGTAATGGGTCAAGGGGTCTGGGGGGGTCTTCAAGTGTCTTGATCAGCAGCAGGAAAGGGGTCTTCGGAGGTCTTGAGCAGGTCCCAAAGTAGGCAGCAAGGCGGTCTTCATCGGCTGCGACAGGAGGTAGTCGTAGAGGTAGTCCAAAAGGCCAAAGTCGAAGTCCGGTAGCAAGGGAGTCGCAAACCGGTACATGGTTCATGTGACAAGTAGCTGCTCCAGGGAGTCTGCGAGGCAGGGTGCCCGCCGTTGTAGCAGCATGGTGGCCAATCCAGCTGCATAATCTCCATGAACAGTGATGCAGCAAGCCATCGCCCTCGTGCGCATGCCATTAGATCCTTTATCGCCGGTCGTCACGCAGGTCCACCAACATTGGACAAGATGGACAAGGAAGTGGAGAGGACGAATGGGGCAAGGCTAGGCGAGGAACAAGGGCAGATCAGACATCAGAAAAGTGGGTCAAGGGCAAGGGTGGCTGTGGCGGGGGTGTGTGTAGAGCAAGGTGGCGAGGTTGTAGCAGGGTTTAAGCAAGGGTTCAGGGTTTAGTCACGGTATGGGCAGGGGGGGTAGCTAGGATGCAGGGTGGGAACGATCATAGGCGCGGACAAGTCTCATGGCATTCTTGAGATTTTCAAGGGGTTCCCATGTTGATTCTTCATCAGGGTATCCGGTCCATTTGACTTTGTATTCGGTGATTGGTTCCGGATGGTCTGCGACTTGGGTTGTTCGTCTTCCTATGATTGATTCGACTATGAATTCTGGTCCAATGGGAAGCATGATAGGTGGAGGTCAAGGATATGGGCGATCAGCGAACTGAGGCGGGGATTCGTGGTATTCCTTGAGATATTCTACGTGGAAGCTTGGGTGTACACGGCTCATGTCAGGGGGTAGCTGGAGTTTGTAGTTCACGGGAGAGGTTTGTTCAATGATGGGGAAGGGACCGAGGCACTTGTTCGAGAGTTTCTTGGACAAGCCCTATTCGGGTTCAAAGCGTTTGGCGGAGAGCCAGACTTTGACCCCTACTTGGAAGGTGATATCACCGCGATGCTTGTTGGCTTGTTTAGCTTGTTGTTCCTGGGTGTGCTTGATTGACTCGGTTGCTTCTCTTAGGAGACGGTTCATTGTTGCAACCCATTCATTGAGAGAGGGACAGGGGGAGGATGGGTTGAGTTGCGAGGGGAGCAAGAAGTCAGAAGGCAAGCGTGGGTGATAGCCAAGGTCAAGGTAGAAGGGGCACATGCCAGTGGAAGGGCAAACGACATTGTTGTGGGCAATCTCGGCGGTGGTGAGCAGCTGATCCCAATCGTGCTGGTGGGGATGACAATACTTCCGCAAGATTCTTTGGAGAGTATCGTTCATCTTCTCGGTCTGTCCGTCGGTTCGTGGATGGAATGCAGTGCTGTACCTGAGCGTGGTTCCGTACACATTGAAGAGTTGTTTCCAGAATTGGGAGAGAAAGCGGGGGTCACGATCACTGCTGATATTCTCGGGGAGGCCGTGGTGTCTAGCGACATGGTCGAAGAAGAGAATGGCAATGTCTTTGGCGTTGTGCGAGTTGGTACATGGGATGAAGTGAGCACGTTTGGTCAGGCGGCAAACAATGACGTAGATGCAGTCATGCCCGCGGTCGGTCTTGGGAAGACCGTACACGAAGTCCATGGAGACGGACTGCCAGCGGTGGGTCGGGATGGGCAATGATTGAAGCATGTCGGGCTTAGCCCGGTTCGAGGGGTTGACGGGCTGACACGTGGGGCACGAGCGGATGTAGGCTTTGACGTTAGCAAGGAGGGAAGGCCAATGGAAATAACGGGAGATGGTATCAAAGGTTTTCTGGAAACCAAGATGGCCAGCGGTCTTGGCGTTGTGGTGCTCGGCCAAGAGCTGGGCGCGAAGGCCACGGGCGTCAGGGATGCAGAGTCGGCGGGTGCCTTTGGTTTCAATGTAGAGAAGGTTGTCGTGGAGGGCATAGCCGGAGACGGGGTCGAGGTCACGGAGTTTGTTGTAGATGGTGGAGAAGTCGGGGCAAGAGAGGTATCCTTGGGTGTAGCGATGGTGGGGCGATGGCAGGAGTTGGATGTGGGTCATGGCGGCATAGACCTTCTCAAGGGAATTGTGGTCGGGGCGGCAGGAGAGGGCATCGGCAACACGGTTGCTTTTGTCGGGGGTGTGGCAAATGGTGAAGGTAAATTGGGCAAGGAAGTCGAGCCAGCGGGCTTGGCGAGGGGTGATGTCTTTCTTGGTAAGAATAGAGGAAACGACGGATCGGTATGAAATATTGCTTGTCGAGGTACGGGCACCAGACTTTGAATGCGTAGACCACGGCGAGGAGCTCCTTCTCGTTGGATGGGTAGTTCATTTCTGCGGGATGGAGTTTCTTGTTGGCGAATGCGATGGGTTGCTCGCCGGGTGGGCATTGGGAGTGAGTGGGGGAGTCCTTGATGGAGGGGGTTTCCACGGGGTCGGGGGGAAAGTGCTGGGATAAGACGGCCCCGATGGCGAAGTCGGAGGCATCTGTGGTGACGAAGAAGTGGCAAGTGGAGTCGGCGATTTTGAGGACAGGGGCAGTGGTGATGAGCTCCTTGAGTTTGTCGAAGGCGGCTTGGCGGCGGTCTGTCCAAGCGAAGGGTTCAGTGGCACGGGTGAGCTCATGGAGAGGGTAGGAAACGTCGGAAAAGTTGCGTATGAAGGGCGGTAGTAGTTGGCGAGTCCCGTGAAGGAGCGAAGTTGGGTTAAAGTGGTGGGAGGGGGGAACTCTACAAGGGCAGAGACCTTTTTGGGGTCCATGCGGATGCCGTCGATGGAGACAATGTGACCAAGGTATTCTACGCTAGAGGCAGCAAATGTGCATTTGCTGAGCTTGGCGTAGAATTTCTGGTCGCGGAGAATGGCGAGAACTTGGCGGAGATGATCAAGGTGGGACTCGAAGGTGGGGCTAAAAACAAGGATGTCGTCGAGGTAGATCACGACACAGACTTCGAGGAGGTCGCGAAAGATGTGGTTCATGGTGGATTGGAATGTGGCGAGGGCATTGGTGAGACCGAAAGGCATTACGAGAAACTCGTAGTGCCCGAAGCGGGAGCGGACGGCGGTTTTGTGGGTGTCCTCCTCGCGGATACGAATCTGGTGGAATCCACTACGAAGGTCGATCTTGGTGAAGTATTTGGCTCCACGGAGGCGATCAAGAAGTTCGGATATCCGGGGAATCGGATACTTGTTCTTGATCGTGATCCGATTCAAGGCGCGGTAGTCCGTGCACATGCGGAGTTCCGAGGTGCCGTTCTTCGTGACGAAGAGACAGATGGTACCGAAGGGGGAGGAGCTAGGCTTAATGAATCCTTTTTCAAGGAGTTCATTGAGTTGGCGCTTCATTTCTTAGGCCTCGGGGACGGAGAGCTGGTATGGGGGGGGGGCAAGGGGGGGAGTGGCCGGGCTCAAGATCGATGGTGTGGGAAACACCTCGGTCGGGAGGTAGTCCGGCGGGCAAGGAGTCGGGAAACACGTCTTTAAATTCGGATACGAGGGCGGAGATCTACGGGTCGGAGGGGGGGTCTTGGTCGGGTTTGTCCGTTGGAAGCAAGTCCTCGGGACGGTTGCGGTCAATGACAAGGCAATAGTAGACGGAGTCGGGGTGCTCACGGGTCATGTGAAGAAATTGGTGAGGAGAGACGGGGGAAGGGGTGGAGGGAGGGAGAAGGTAGGGGATGTCAAGGGGTGGATCGGGAGGGGTGGAAAGGGGGACGAAAGAAGGGTGGAAGGTATAGGGCATGTAGCGGTCGAGCCAAGGAGTCCCGAGTACGATGTCGCACATGAGGTGCATGACATCAAAGGAGACTTGACTGCGAAGAGGGCCGACAGTCATTGTGGTCTCGGGGACTGTGCGATCGACGACGATGGCTGAGTCCTTATCCCCTAGGCGGATGGTGATCGGAGAATCATAGCCGGTGGAAGAGAGCCCGGCTTTGCGGACACAAGCATCCGTGATGAAGTTGCCGGTGGCACCAATGTCGAGAAGGGCCCGGAACTTCACTGTCGATGCTCCAAAGGAGACGGCGACGGACTTGAGCTGGAACTGGGCGGTCCCGGCACAAGCGGAGGAGATCAAGGCGTTGAGGCGGCGCTGCTCGAGGCCTAATCTAACAAGCCGAGTATGTCGGTCTTGTTTCTCAACGAGATTGGAGAAAGTGATGGTGAAGGGGTTGGGGAGTAGGGTAATGGAACATGTGGCCGTGGGGTGCTCAACCGACGGAATAGAGGACGTCGTCGGGAGGAGGGCAGGCGGAGTAGACTGCGACGCCTGGGGGGTGTTCGGTGTGAGAGTCGTCGCCGGCAGACGAATTGTTGATGCCAGGACATGGCTACAAGGGGCGGGGGGATAGTGTTCAAGTGGAGGAGGGCCCAGAGGCCGCGATGGAGAAGGAGGAAGTGGATGTGGGAGGGGCTGGATCCGGTGGGGCGGGAAGGCTGGTGGGTGGAGCGGCCGGCCTTTGGGCAATTGGTTTGCTGATGCCCCAGCTGGCGGCAACGGAAACAACTGTCGTTGGCCTGGAGGAAGGCGCGTTCGGCGGGGGTGAGCTTTTTGAGACGAGGGGGTTGGGGGGAGGAGCAAGGCTGGGAGGCAAGGCGTTGTCTTTCCATCCTCATGAGATGGACAGCCTGGAAGTCTTCCTCGGTGAATTGGGCTGGGTCAACAGACTCGGGAGAGGAGTCAAAGTTGTCGTCGGAGGGGAGTGACGAGTCGTCGGAGGCCATGTTGTGGAAAAACCGGTTGCGGTTGGGGGCGCCTGGTCTTTGAGAGAGGAGGTGAGGAAGGCGATCATGGTGGAGAAGGCGGGTAAGGAGATCGGTGAGAGGGAGCTCGGGCTCATGGGCGAGGGCTGCGGCGAGGTGGGGGAAGCATATACCCGCTTGATGCGGGAGATGAAGACGTAGTCGGGAATGAGAGTCGACGGGATGTGGAGGCGGAGGGAGCGAACGTAATGGATGAATCGCTCGNATGAGAGTCGACGGGATGTGGAGGCGGAGGGAGCGAACGTAATGGATGAATCGCTCGGTGGGGCCGGTTTGGCGGAGGTTGCAAAATTGATCGATGTAGTCATCGATGGTCTTTTGCGGACGGAAGGTGGCGATGAGAAGGTCGGCCCATTGAAGGAAGGTGATGCGGGGAAGGCCATTGGCTCGGCGGTTGTTGGATTCGGTTAACCACCATTGAGCGGCGGCGCCTTGGAGGCGGGAGGTTGCGGTGGGGAGCCAATGAGCGAGGGGCATGTTGTGGAGGTCGAAAGCATTTTGGATTTGAGAGAGGAAAAGGAGGACGTCCTAGTGGGGGAGGCCGAAGAACGTCGCGATATCGGTGGCGCGGAAGGAGCGGGGAATGTCCCCGTTGCGGGGGACGATGCAAGCGAGGTTGTTGAAGTTGCGGTCGTCAGGAGAGGTGTCGTAGCAGGTATGATCCTGACTGCGGTCACCAAGGAGGTAGCAAGGAGGATGTTGGGGTATGGCGGGGTAAACGCCCGAAAGGACTTGGGAGTAAGAGGGGTGGACAGAGGGGATGGTGGAAGTAGTTAGGAGAGGTTGGGTGAGGGGGGAGGAGAGGCGAAGGGGAGTGGTTCGCGTAGTGGTGGAAGCGCTTGTAGTAGGTTGTGAGGCGGGGAGGGAAACGGGAAGGGAAGTGACAGGGGTGGAAGAAGGTGTGGTGGAGGACGGTGTGGGGGTGGTGTTGGATGATGAGGCCTGGCCGGCTTGGCCGGCGGAGAGGCTTTGGCCAGATTGGCCGGAGGAGGGGGGTTGGCTATTTTGGTCGGAAGAAGATGGTTGGCCGGTTTGGCTGGCGGGGGTGGATTGGATGGATTGGCCGGAGGAGGGGGGGGGTGACGTCGTGACGACGGTGATGGCGGGTGTGTGGTTTTCGAGGGAGGTGACGCGATCGGATATGGAGGTCACGGAGGCCTCGATTCTGCAGAGCGAGGCAGAGAGTGCTTGAAACATGGAGAGGAGAGATGTGTTATCCCCAGTGCCTGGCTGGTCGACAAGCTCGCGGTGGATATCCTCGACGGAATCCATGCGGAGCGAGCCCATGTTGATGCTTGAGGTGCCTTCGGCCATGGGGAGGGACGAAGGTGGGGCAGAGGGAAGAGATGGAGTGGAGGGGACAACGGAGGTGACAGCAGCGACGGAGGTGGCAGCAGCGGCGGCAGCAGCGGCGGCGGCGGCGGCTCGTTGGGAGGTCTTGGACTGGCGGGGTGGCATGTGGGAGCAGTTTCTAATCCCGATTTAGAAAAATGATGCTTGATTTAAATCGGGGTTAGAGGAAGTTGTCATGAGAGGAGGGTGGGGGGGAAATGAAAATTTGGGGGCAAAGTTTTGGGGAAAAAAATTAAAATCAGAACGTAAATTTCAAATGGAATAAAGTTTGGCGAAGAAAAATTGCACAAAATTTGGGGTAAAGGAAAAGGGGAAAATAAAATTTTCAAGATAATGAAATTCGAATTTATTCGATTTAATTTTCAAAAAGGGAAAAAAAACTCTTGGAAAAAAAAAAAAATCTAAATGACAAAAAACTACTCGGGCTATTTTACGTGACAAAATATGGGAAATTTAAAATTGGAATAAGTGGAAAAATTCAAAAAAAAATGCTATATTTGAGGGATTTATTTTGAATTTTTAATGAATTTAAATGATAATTATGAAAATAATTTAAATCAAGATTTCCGAATTACTTTGAAAAAGATTAAATTCGAGAAAATAAAACGGAATTTGAAAAAGAAATTTGAGACTTTTCATAACGAAAAGAAATTTGAATTCGGATTTAAAAGTTGATTTTTTTTCGGGATTTAATTATTTAAGTAATTAAAATGTTTGCAAGAAGCTCCGAGGGGGACAGCGCAATCGCACAGGACCCTGAACAGCACTCAGCGCAGCTACAAAGCACCGCAGATGGAGGTATGAACCAGGAACGGAATAGGGCTCAAAACGAGCGCATGCACTCTGAAAATGGTGCACAGGGAGTGGAAATAATGCCACGGGGGAAAGCAGCTCTCCACGAAAATCGACAAACAAAGGAATGGACCCTGGGACAGGGGAGCAAAGGGAGGGCAACGGGATAGAGGACCAGAGCCAAGCACGGAAGCAATCAGAAGTGCCTCTGGCAGAAGGATTGTGCCTGGCCCTGCCCGCTTGGAACCAGGCTGCACCGAAGGAACAGACATCCCCCCCCCCCCCCCAAGCCCCCATAAAACAGCCTCGTGAGCAGACGACAAAAAATCCGTAATCTCCTGGATCTGTCGACGAGCAACCCCTCACCCTCAAATAAGGGAATTGTCTTCCTCCCGGTGAGACAAAAAGACGGACAATGGGAGGTGGGTCTGTCAACCCCACCGAGGGCGGTGCACGGGGAAGTTACTCTCCAAGGGCGTTCGTCTGTATTCCTCTCACTGACTTCCTGGGCTGGAAACTGGGTATTCCAGAACACGGATATAGCCCAGCTGACCCGTGACCACCTCCCGCCACGGGCTTCCTCGGCTCTGATCCTCACCCATGGACAGCACAGACTGGCCTCTAAAGACATCTATTTGCGGTACGACCACTCCAAAACTGAAGACCTTATATGGTTAGATCACAACGCCCTGATGGATCTGCAAATATTGAAAATCAAGTCTGGCGACCTGTGGATGACCTCGGACATAACCACCTTCCTTGTGAAGATGCTCAGGAACGGCACGCTCCACAAAGGAGACACCTTGCAGTCACAGGACTGGCTACAGCTATAAAAAAAAAAGAAAAAAAAAAAGGAATGTGGTAGATGCTTTATACGGAAGGGACAGGGCCTGGAAACTCTGCAAAAGACAGGCCAACTTGGATCTGCGGTCACTTAATGTTAATGGCCTGGCTTCAGCAAACCCCCCTAAGAGGCAAGCCATCATAGACCAACTAAAGGGGGTAGGGGGGAGAGACTGGCCCGACGTGGTGTGCCTACAAGAAACCCATCTTATGGACACCCCGGAACATAACCACAAACATAAAGAGCTATGGCCACACCAAGCCTACAGGGCTCATGCCTCGAGACCCGGGAGCGGGGGTGCAGCGATATGGATCCCCCAAACTCGAGGATCGAAATGCTTAACTGGGAAGCGGATCTACAAGAAGGTAGGTGGATCTACCTACTAGGGATGCTAGAATTGGAAGTGGTCAGCATCCTGAACGTATACGCCCCCAACGACTCGTCAACAAGGCAAGCATTTTTCGAATCCCTCAAGACCAAATTACCCGCGGGAATTCCTATCATTCTAGCAGGTGACTTCAACGCCGCCCCAGACCGTTGGCTGGATAGACGGAGAGTTCCCTCGCCCTGCCCATTCTATATGGAAAATGACGAAAAAATAATCATGGAACTCGCTCAATCCCTAAACCTCTTTGACACTTTCCGAAGGCTTTTTCCTACCGACCGCCGCTTCACCTGTCTGCGAAAAAACGGCATCGAAGGTATCTCGCAATCCCGCATAGACCTGATTCTGGCTTCTGAGGAGCTTCTCGGAGCCCTCCAAATAGCAGACATATTTCCCCACAGTCCCCTCCCGGGTGTGGACCACGCTATGTGCCTCGCAGTTTTCTCCTTCAAGAAAAAGCCGGATCAGGGGAAAGGGTTTTATAAACTCAACACGTCTCTCCTGAAAATGGAAAATTTTAAAGCATACTTAAAAGACGTATGGTCCTATTGGCAAGAACAGAAGGAACAGATAAACGACGACATAACATGGTTCAACAACGGCCTAGCTTTTCTAGGCCGCAAGTGCAACAAATTCTCTATGGAACGACGTCAGACAGAGGAGATAGACGTACACCGCCGCCTGCACCAGCTTCAGCAGCAGGAGGATAACACAGGTGGCCCTTATATTGACATAGCCCAAGCCATCCAAACACTGGAAGCAGCACTACTCATATGGAACGCAGATGGCAGGGGGCCAGGATCCGGGGCAAACTCTCTAAGCACAACATGGAAGGTGCAATGGATGCAAGATTTTTCGCAATGGCTAGAATGAAAACCGGAAGATCGGTGATCGAAGCGCTGGAAGACCCCAAAAACAACCGGGGCCCCCTGGTCACATCCACAGCGGCATGCACAAAAATAGCCAGAGACTTTTATCAGGAACTCTTCACATCCACTTCCGGGATCCGGCCCGAGGATCAGCGGAAACCGGAAATAGAGGACTTCTTAGCCCCATTAAACAAATCCCTCACAACCCAGCAAAAAGAAATGTTTGATAACCCCCTATCTAAAGAGGAAATAAGGGACGCGCTGAGGCAAATGGAGGAGGACAAAACCCCCGGAATTGACGGCCTACCAAAGGAATTCTGGGAGACTATGTGGCCGATCATCTCACAAGACCTCATGGACTTCTACCAGGAGGTCTGGGCGACCGGTAGGATTGGGGAATTTGTGGGACAGGGCGTACTGACACTCCTCTATAAAAAAGGAGACAAGAATAACATCAGGAACTATAGACCTATCACGCTGCTCACGGTAGTCTATAAGCTGATCGCCAAAGCCCTGACTAACTGCCTGGAACTGATAATGACAGATATCATCCACCCGAACCAGACGGGCTTCATCCAGGGCAGAAATATACAAGATAATATCCTGTTGGTCAACGAAATGATTAAACTAACCACGCAGACCCAAAACAATGCAGCAATAATCTTCATAGACTTCGAAAAGGCCTATGATCATGTTGCTTGGTATTTCTTAGACAAATGCCTGGAAAAGCTCAATTATGGGCCTCACTTCCGACGCTGGGTACAAATCTTACACACAAACGCGACAACCAGGGTCATGGTAAATAAAAACCTGGCCCCACCCATCGAACTGCAGACGTCTGTCCGACAGGGGGACCCGATTGCCCCCTATCTGTTTGTGATAGTTATGGAAGCACTAGCGGCCAACCTGAGGATCCACAAAGACATAAAAAGGATTCGAGTATCGGCAATTCCCAAAG